GATGTCTGCAAACTTAAATTTGAAACTTTTTTATTCACTGATATTTGAGGAACAACTCAACCAATCTGTCTGTATATCTGAGGATTTATTCTAGCTAGTCATTTTTAGGAATTATTCATGTTGAGAAACAAGTTATGTAATGCAGGCGATGCAAACTGAAAACAAAGTCGAATGCAAGAAAATTTTAAAAGGTAGGACAAATTTGGGGTATGACACTAGGTACCTAATTTTAGTTGGGTCCTTGAGGGTTAGTTAAAGAATACTTAGGTACCTATGTCATTTTACCACTAGGAACTTTGAAGTTCCTAATATGACAAAGATGCCTAATGTGACCATTATCACCATAATAATGACAAATAGCTTTAGATGAATTAGCTTTTCTATTTTTTCTAGCATCGTGAGGGTTTTTCTTAAAAGTGGTCCTTTTATCACTTGAAGAAGTAAAACTAGTAGAAGATAACGAAATATCATGAGTTAATTGTTCTTTCGGAGTTTCAATTTCAAGTTTTAAATTTGGACAAGTAACACACTCTACTTTTTCTATCTTTTCTACTAAATATTAGAACAGTAAAATGTTCAATAACCAGAGATGTATGTGTTTCCTTAAAAGAATCCAAAGCGCTACTAAGATCATTTATCTCATTTTCAAGTTTTAAAATTATTTTGTGTTGGAGAGAAATTTTCTTAAAAGCATTTATAGAATCAGATGTATATCATTAAAAGCTTTCGAAAACTCACTATATGGATATTCATCATCAAGATCAGAAGTATATACTTGTGAGCTTTCATCTTTATTAAGTGCCATCAAACATAGATCAACACATTCATCATTTGAACTTGAGAAATAATCTGAGGAGGAAGTCTCATCTTCTTCTTCTCACACGATATAGGCTCTACGACCTTTGACACCTTTACCTTTCGTCTTGTAGACTTCCTTATATTTCTTTTTATGATGTTTGGTGAGACTTGGATAAGTAGTTCTATAATGCCCCAATTTTCCGCACTCATAACACGTAACATCATCATCATTTTTTTGTGTTCTTTTTTAGGCGGGTGAGTATTTTTGAAGTTTACCAAACCTTTGTTGGAATGCTTGAGCTTATTTCTTTTCAAGTATCTATTATAGCATCTAACAAATAAACCTATATCCTCTTCTTTAGGAGTTTCTTCGTTAGAGTTATCATTATCTTCCTTTGGCTTCTTCGCTTTAGATGATGAAGCTTTCAAAGAAAGATCCATTTTCTCTTCTTTCCTTTTCTCTTTCTTTTTTTACTTTACTTCGCTATATGCAGGTCATTTCAGTTCATTTTAATGCTCGACTAGTTTCCCATATAACTTTGTGATATCCAAAGAACTAATATTGTTAGATTCTTTTATAACGGTAACCTTTGGTTACCACTCCCTGCACATATACCTCAATATTTTGTTGGCACAATCTTTGTTATAAAAGTTTTTTCCCAGGTTTCTTGGTTTGTTGATTAAGTGGAGGAATCTAGTCTGCATGGAATACACAGATTTTTTGGGTTCCATATGGAATAATTCGGACTCCACTATAAACATAATGATCTTAGAATCATTGACATCATTTGCTCCATTATAAAGGGTTTGGAGTGCATCCCACATACAATTAACACTCTTATAATGTGAAATTGAGTAGAATACTTTCATGCTCAAAGAGAAGATAACATGTTCTCGCTTTTAGATCATAGGAAGCCTTTTTGGTTTCATCATCTGTTTAATCTTTGGATGTTTAACAACATCATCGTCACCCTTAGAGATAAAAGGAGCACCAGTGACGACTATCCATAAATTTTTGTCATATGGTAGTAAATGTACACAAATGTTCTCTTTCCGATAAGCATAATTCTCTTCTTTAAAAACAAGTGATCTATTATATGCTTCCTTCGGATGGTCATCGTCTGTCATATTCCCTAAGACTAATTTTTGGGTGAGAATATGGAGTAGAGAAATGGTCTAGAGGGGGGAGTGAATAGGCCCTTATTAATTTTTTTTACCGATTTTCTAAAAATAGAAGATCATAGGTTTTTCAAAAATATGCGGAAGTCTTAAAGCAAAAATAGAAATATTATGCTTATGTTGAAATTCAACACGTTGACAAATACACAATTCACAAATCTCACAGATTATTCAAAGACGATGATTTATTGAGTAATTGTAAATTACACGAGATGTGTTATGTGCAATGCTTCAATTAATATTGGATTCTAACATCACTAGTTTACCAGAGCTTAATTAGCACTAAAGCTCAAGTATGTACCAATTCTAACAAAACCTAACTTTACGTAATAAATCGCTACCAAATGAAATAAATGAAAAACTACGCTAAGAATTGATAAGTTAAACATGCAATATCCTATGAAAATTAAAATGCAAGTGTGTGTGTGTATGTGTGTGTGTGTTTGTGTGTGTGTGTGTGTGTGTGTGTGTGTGTGTGAGAGAGAGAGAGAGAGAGAGAGAGAGAGAGAGAGAGAGAGAGAGAGAGAGAGATTAGATAGATAGATAGAGAGAAAAGGAAAGAGATTACACTGTGATATATAGTGGTTCAGCTCTAACGTCCTCGCAGGAGCCTACTCCACTCTTCAATGGTTTCCCATTGGAACCCGTTTTCTTCCACTATGTTTTGAAAAAAATTACAAGAGTTCATACAATCTTCAATCTACAATAATTTTAAGAAAAACAAATTTTCTATCTGAATCTTGACTTGTACAGAGCTTAATGCCAAGCTTTTTGTGAAATCTTTACTCGATTCTCACTTCTTCAATCTTCCAGCTTCACCAATCTGCTCACAGTTCTTGTGTGTGGCAATCATCCCTCGATCCCACTAATTTCTTGAGCGGTGAACTGTCCAAAAATTAAGAAGAACTCCACATTGTTTGTAGCCTTTCGCACAGTCACTACCAATGTCAAGTGGAGATAATAACCTCCATCTTTTCACTAGAATTTTTCACTACCTATGACAACAACCTAAATCTTGCAAACTTCCTGAAAATCCTTAACAAACCTTCAAGAGCGATTAGTTTTAAGACAATGCCTCCCTCAACAATTACAAATCTCCCATGATCAAAATCTAAAATCAAACTAGAGGTTCAAGATAAAAGAAATTATGTTTGCAAGAGTTTTGGGTTTAAAAAAATGAGAGGTTATTGATTTCACAAAATCACAATGTATATTATGAAATTGCTATTAAAATGACATAATAAATTTATATGTCCTTGGGATTAAGAACAAAAATGAATAGAAAAAGTTAGTTAGATTCGAGTCAAGAACATTTCATAATTTGAGTCAAATGAGCAAGTAAAGTGAAACAATATCTCGTCAAGAAATTGATATGTTTTTTTGTATGATTCGAGTCACCTTTAAAATCTAATTCGAGCCATGAAAGCTCATGATTCCAATCAAGTATGAAGCTTGATTCGAGTCAATTTGGACATAGCCAAACAGAAAAATATGAAAAGTAATGTTATGATTCAATTAAGGTATAAAGTATGATTCAAATCAAATGAGGTAGAGGCTGACAGGATCAGTCTGATTCGAATCAAGTGCAACTTGTGATTTGAGACACAAAGCTGCCTGTTTTGAATCAACTTAAAAATATGATTCGAGTCACAGAGCTTCCTAATTTGAATCAACTTTAAAATGTGATTTGAGTCACATATTTTGAAAAAATTATGTTTGATTCTGTTCAATTTGATTTGATTTAGGATATGTACATGATTTGAGTCATGCATATAACATCTCATTTTTTCATGCTTTTAAAAATAGTTTGAGATTTCCCTTCCCACCTAACTTGAACCAACAACATATATGCTTCTTGTTTTACTAACGAAAGCAATTGACTTAAAGCATCATTATCAAACTCAGATACAAACAATTGAATTATGCATGCTAAAAAAAGAATCTATTAAAAACTTGATTCAAAAATGTGTAATCATGAAGGAGACTTAATAAACAATAGCAAATGAAACGAAATCGACAAGACACGCAACAAAATCGTATTGGGGGTTCTCCCCCTGAATTTATTAAGAACATGCAAATTCACTCTCCTCCTTTTTGATGTTTGGCAAGCTTTTACTTGAAATTGAGTCGACTTTGAGTCAAGACACATGAACGCTTGTGCTCCCATTGAAACATTGCACACGTATAACACAAAATAAAACGCATAAAATAATTCTAGACTCATATTACAACTTCTACCCCTTTGATAACGTCAAAAAGAGATAGATCGAAAGGAGTATTAAAAATCAAATAACCAACCATAAAATGATTACTCCCCGATGAACACATGAGCTAAACAGCTAAGAAGAATATATAACAACAAAGATCAGATATATAACAGGAAGATAGATGTGTTATATGCAACAAAATGCAAATAGACATGCAACAACAATCAACAACAATCAACAACATACAATTAAGTAATCAAAATTATCATGAAAGGAAGATTAAATAATGCATAAACAAGTATATAAATGTTCAAATACACATAATTAGCAATATATTTAAAAAAAAAAATTTAATTGCCACATATAACATATCATGTCAGCATATTTGTCATTCTGACATTGCCACATGTATGCTCAATCACCAAACCTTTCATATGACATTATTGGCATGGTCTTTGTTAATTAAAAAATATAAATAAAAATTTAATCATAAAAAATTCAATAAAAATGGGCATTGGTCTTTGATGATTTATTAGGAGTATATTATTATAAACATTAATTAGTTGCTAAGTTTGCACCAGTTAGTAGCATGTGTGTTGGCATGAGTTGTAAAAAGCATAAAAATAAAATGAACCAGAATCACTTCATTTTGCAACCTTAACTTTTCCCCCACTTTCCAGTCATCAATTTCTTGTCTCTTGTTCCAAAGTAACAACCTTAAAACTTTTCTATTCATGTGCATTCATTCATATATTTGGAAAAACCACAAACTATAGAGCAATTGAAATAGATCATCAAGAATCACAAAGAGTGAAGATGTCAGATTGGGGGCCAGTTTTTGTGTCAGTGGTGCTCTTCATTCTCTTGACTCCTGGTTTGCTTATTCAAATACCTGGTAAAGGCAAGATGGTGGAGTTTGGAAGCTTTCAAACTAGTGGATTATCCATACTCGTTCATTCGGTTATCTACTTTGCTTTAGTTTGTATTTTCTTGTTAGCTATTAGAATCCATATGTACATGGGGTAATTAGTTATTCCACTGCATGTTTAATTTATGTATACAAAGATTTTCCTTGTTTGATTCCTTAATTTGCACTCGATGAATATTGGTTGTTGGTAAATGATTGCTTGGGAACTATAACCGTAAATGCAGAATATTTTATGTATGTATCTAAATTCGATAGTGAATTTTAATTTAAGTGGAGGAGGATGTAATACATAATATTCTAAACACTTATTATCATGAGACTTAAGAGGGATTAAGTGGGTTAATGAAGAAGTTTGGTGTTAAAAAGTTCTAGTGGCATCATTAGAAATTATGAATCAAGTCCAAGGGTAAAAGTGTTCTTTCTCCAAGAATTTCATATAAGTTTTAAGGGAGTTCAAATTCCTATTTTTACATCATGTTTCTCTCTTTGAACTCAGAATTTAAGTGAGGTTGAGAGAGGAAATGAGCTAGGCGATTCTTGGAGGGAGGAGAGAAAGATTGTGATCAAGCTCCATCAATTTTTCTAGTGCATGTATGAAGTTCTTGGATTTCTTGGGGAAGGAGATTCAAAGCAGGTGTTTGAGTATCTTTCAACTCTTTAATTCAACTTCAAGTTAGAATTTCATTAAGATAAAAGGTGGAGTTCCATAGGTTTGTGATTTGGGATTAGTACCAATTTAGTAATGAATGAATGGTGGGAATTAGATAGTTTGATTATGTGAAATTCTTGCTTGATATTCCTTCATGAATTTTGCTTGATCATGTTTTTATTATGATGCGTGCATGTATGTCATAAGTGTTCCAAATGATGTGATAATGCATGCTCCTTGATTGAGATAATAATGCTTAAGTGAGAAGTAAGATAGAATTCATGATTTGTTCATGAATGTTGTGTGATTATTGCATGTCAATATGATGATTGAAAACCCTAGGTGATTCACCCTGATTAACCAGAGGTTTCTTGTTAATTTAATGCTAAAGAGAATGCTTGCAATATTGGGTTGATGGTTGTCTTTGAAAATGTGCAGAATTCTAGGAAATCGAGTTACCCATGAAATTTGTATTTTTTCTATAAACAGGTCGTGGGTAATTTGCAGGCACACCACGGTCGTGTTGACTAACTTGGGGGACCCGTATTGCCCCTAATTATTTCTATAGGAAGGGTTGTTTGAGCCTGACACGACTCGTGTTAAACAACACAGTCTACCCGTGTTGACTCATGCTTTGGGAGACACTATTGATTCGTTTTATCGGAATTGTAGGGGTCATTTTACCTTGTTCCAATGGATCTAATTGGAGTGTCTCGACACCCATAGAATTGAATTAATGTAGATTAATAATTAGAATGCCTAATTGTATGTAAAATGGAGGATGTGACCTAGCATATCCTTGTGCTTCCTTGGAGCCCAAGTTAGTCCAAGTCTGATGTCATTTCTATTATTGTACCTTGGATGTTGGAGTGTAGCTAAATCGATTAAAAGCACTCAATGGATCACTTGACAAGTATTAATGACCATAGTAGAATATGATATTATTAGGCTATTTCTAGAAGTAGCATAAGATTCATTGGAAATTAGTTGAATGATCAAGATGGTTTATCGTAGATGCAAGGTTCCTAGTTAACTAAGAGTAATGAATAATGAAAAGCGAGCAAACCCTAAGTGGAGAGAGTTCACCTAGAGATGTGGCATTCAGACATGAAGAGATACTCGAGTTGGTACGCATAGCAAATGGTTGACAAGTATATGATGCTCAGACACAAGATATACCCTAGTTGGTATATGTGACGAACGTTAGGTTTCGAAGGAAACCGTGTTGAACTAGTGTGAGGAGTATCCATGCCAATGGCTAGGATTTAATGCAGTAATTGGGAGAGTCAAGTAGTTGTTTATTACCCGAGTTCAAGCTATGAATTATTATGACCTGGGAAGGACGATTTGTGGCTAGTGAACTTTCATGACCCGAATCCCAACTCGAGTGATGAGTTATTGGTCGGGGAAAGATATTTGAGTGGGAGGGAGTGATGTTCATGACCCAAATCCCAACTCGAGTGATGAGTTATTGGTCGGGGAAAGATATTTGAATGGGAGGGAGTGATGTTCATGACCCGAATCCCAACTCGAGTGATGAGTTATTGGTCGGGGAAAGATATTCGAGTGGGAGGGAGTGATGTTCATGACCTGAATCCCAACTCGGGTGATGAGTTATTGGTCGGGTAAAGACATTACACATCTTGAAGTGATGTCTATGACCTGAATCCTAACTCGAATAATGAGTTATTTATCGGGGAAAGATATTATACTTCGTGAAGTGAGTTTGTGACCCGAATCCCAACTCAAGTGATGAGTTATTGGTTAGGGAATGACATTTCACTTTGCAAAGGAAATCTGTTACTCGAACCTCAACTCAAGTGATGACTTATTAACTAGGAAAATATTTCACCTCGATTCGTGAATGCTCTATGACCCAAATCCCAACTCGAGTGATGGGTTATTGGTAGGGGAAATACATTCACCATGCTATGAGACTCCTGAGGTAACTGATGCACAGTATGTAGATAGGCAGCAATTATGTTTAAGAAGGGATCGTTTAAATATTTTAACTATTACTTGTATGATCATGTGGTATACAAAGTATAATATGTTTCGTATCAGTGGTGATAGTACACCTTTTAAACTCGAGTGGACTCAATGGTGTAGTTTACAACTCATTGAGATTAGTATCTCACCCCACTCATGTTGTTATTTTAGGTATTTCGAGGAAAGATAACGACAAGGGTAAAATGTCATGAGTAGTATGTTGAAGACATTTTAGTTGTTTTCTTTTCTGTGGTATTTTGGGATCTTGTAATATTGTTGGATATCAGTTGTATTTGTCACGTACCCGTGCTTATGTTTTGTATCCTAAATGAATTTTGATATCATCTAAACATTTATGTTTTGATTAAGTACCATATTAATGCCACATATAATATTATTCCACACACGCACGCACGCTTACACACATATGTTGTTACAGTTAGTATCAAAGCCTAGTTTTGATCCAAGGACCTGTGAGTTATGGGCCCACCACGCTTTCTGTTGTGCTTTAGGATCTTGTAGTATTGTTGTTTATCTATTGTATTTTACATGTACATGTGCTTATCTTTTGTATCGTACATGAATTATGATATCATCTGAACATGTTTTGATTTAGGTACCATATATATATATATATATATATATATATATATATATATATATATATATATATATATATATATATATATATATATATATATATATATATATATATATATATATATATATATATATATATATATATATATATATATATATATATATATATATATATATATATATATATATATATATATATATATATATATATATATATATATATATATATATATATATATATATATATATATATGGTGTTACAATTCATATCAGAGCAGGTCAATTGTCGACCCAACTATGAGACATCATAAGTAATTGTTTTCCTCCTCAAATGTGTGAGTTGCTGGACTAAATTCTAGTTGTGAAGCCTGATCAACTTCTTACCTAAATTCTACTATTAGGGTAAGCCTTGCAGGCGTAAATTTTCCTCCTACAGTACCCCCAACCTTTATACACAAAGAGAACTTCTAGATCACCCTCTCCTACTGAATCTCAAATTTTAGGAGTCATTACTCAAGAAGAACCCATTCTCATTGACAAAGCCTGGATTAGAGCCAACTTTGAGGCTGACTACAATTTAGAAGAGAGAAATTGGTATTTCTGTTTTCCAAAGAACAGACTCAAATGTATTTGCAAGAGTTTTATCACTTCTTAGAACAACATAAGATCAATGTTTACCTATTTATCTGGTTTGAATTATTTTGTCTGGAAGAAATAATAGATAACCTTTTTGTTACTAAAATGTACTTAGATGCTAACGTTAGAATTAGTACTAATTGGAAGAATATCAAGAAAGAGATCGTAGAGTCTACTCATCCTCCTTTATAAGACATAAAAATTAAACCTTCTAAATAAAATAAAGAGATAAAAGCTTTTAACTTTAAGTTTATCATCAATCCCATAAAACAAATAAAATATATTAATAATCTACACAGTCAGATGAATTATTTGAACCAGATATTACACACTATTGCTCAATAGTTAGACAAAATAGAAAATTTTATCCCTCACCCTAGAGATGTTAAAGACTACAAATTAGATCCTATCTGTCCTATTTACCGTTACCGTACACCTTGTATCCAAGAGTTAAAGGGTATGAGCTTATGTCGTGACACTAACCACAAAATAGACGAATTAGTTTAAAAGTAAAAAAACATTGAATGTAAGAAGTTCTTCTGGAGAAAAAATACCTTATCTCGTGAAGAACAATTTGATAATATGATTAGCAAATTAGGAGGAAAATCCCCAAAACCTAAAACCCGAAACTATTACCCTAGACCTTCATTTGCAGATGTTCAATTTGAAGAAAGAATAGCTTTATAGAAAATAGCTATTTAGGAGAGTTCAATATGGAATGGAATATCGATGGAGCTTCTGAGCGTCAAGTTTTAGATACTATACAAAATATGACCATGGCGGCTACCACCTTTAAACATAAAGGAAACTCCGATAAGCAAACCAAAGATATTCTTGTTATGGGTTTTACTAGTCAGTTAAAATGATGGTGAGATAATCTCCTAAGTCATAGAGATAAATCTCAAATTGATATAGCTGTTAAAACTGAATCTAATGAATCCATTTGTGTCATACTCGCTTATATTCTATTACCAAGATATTTGTAGGAGAACCTCGTAAGTTCTAGCAAAGAGCGGGCGATCAATTATTAAACCTTTATTGCTCATCCATGTCAGATTATAGGTGGTACATAGATATGTTTCTCTCTAAACTCTACCTTAGGTCTGACGAATATGTGGATTATTAGAAGAAAAAAAATTTATTAGTTGCTTACCTAGATTATTTGCTGAAAAGGTTAAGACTAACATTAAACAAGATTTTAATGGAACTATTCCTTATCAGACT